CCAAGTTTGCCCATGCTTGGTACAGAAGGGCCCTTTTAGGCTGGATGTCTACCTGTCAAAGCTCTCTTGACACATGGATAGTACTGAATGGCAGAAGGGATCCCATCAGGTCTGCTGGCTTTGTCTTTGTTTGGCCCATGCCTGGTTTAGGGAAATCTTTTCCCCTGCTCCATTGCTCCATTGTGTTTTTAGTCTCAGGAGGAGCAGAAAATGAGCTTGGACCTTTTGTCCTCTCCAATGGGACCTCCTTCCAAATATGTAAACATGACTCTCATGTTCCCTTCCCTAATCTTAGCATCCACAATTCCCTTGACCAGTTCTCATAGAGGTTCATAGCTTTGACCTTCTTGCTCACCTGTTTTGGATAGAGTGACTTCTGTGTCATTCCTGGTGACCTTTACTGACCGTTCCCTTCCTGTGTTGCAGATGCAGAGCTACCCGGACACGCTGACCCGCCTGGTGGCCACCAACCTCTTCTACTTCAAGAGCAACTGGGCCGACATCCGAGCAGCTGCCCCCATGTTTGTAGGTGAGTCCCCAGGAGGCACTGCAGGGTGGGAAGCTCAGGGTAGGATGTTGCTACCTTGGCCACTTTCGATGTCCCTCTCCACTTTCCTTTGGACTTGAATGTCCTTGTTTCCTTCCAGGCTTTCTTGTCCTCCACGTCGACCAAGACCATGGCCAGCAGCTGGACCTGGACGAGCTCATTGCAGGTGAGGAGGGGATGGAGGTGGGCACCAAAGCCTTAAGGGCAGTGCTGTGTGGTCGGGACCTCTCTCTGTCCCACTAGAAATCATCCGGAGGGTCACTTCAATCTTGACCTAACCTAAGTTGCATGAGACCCCAAGGGCCATCCAGTCCAACCCTTCTTGACCAGCGAAAAGGAGCAAATTTGAGGATGACAAAGGAGCCGCCAGTGGAGATTCATGGCTTCCAGATCATTTTGGTGATTCTTTTCTGGACCCCTTCTCTTTGTCCATCTGGATGTCCATCTGGCAAGAGAGCGTTGTTTGGATAATACTGAATGGCAGGAGGGATCCCATCAGGTCCGCTGGCTTTGTCTTTGTTTGGCCCATGCCTGGTTTAGTGAAATCGAAATCAAATGGGAGAGGGACCCACATAAGGGACCGCCAGTGGGAAGTGGGTTAAACCCCTGAGCTGCTAAACTTGCTGACCAAAAGGTCAGTGGTTCGAATCTGGGGAGTGGGGTGAGCTCCTGCTGTTAGCCCCAGCTTCTGACAACCTAGCCGTTAGAAAACATACAAACTGTGAGTAGATCATAAGTTACCACTTCTGTGGGAAGGTAATGACACGCTGTGCAGTCTTGCTGGCCACATGATCTTGGAGGTGTCTACGGACAACACCGGCTCTTTGGCTTAGAAATGGAGATGAGCACCGGAGTCCCAGAGTCGGACACCACTGAACGGGACACAGGGTTATTATTCTAGGCCTCTCCCTGGTTTGAAATGCCCAGGATCTATATGGGCCAATGCCCTTGCTGTGCAAAATGAGACATAATATGTACTATAGCGTTGGGGGCTTTCACGCCCAGAATCACTGGGTTGCTGTGGATATTTTGGGCTGTATGGCCATGGCCCAGTAGCATTCTCTCCTGATGTTTTGCAGAGCTTCATGAGACTAAATATTTTTCAAGCTTGCTAATTGCAACATCCACACTTGCTTCAAACAGGCAAGCTCCGCAAGCTTCTTTCTCCCACCCTGGGTGTTATTCCATAGGGGTGTGTGTGTATATCTACACACACGCGCACACACATATACATGCTACATACATACACACACACACACATACATATACATGCATACACATAAAAATATACACACACTCCACTTGCCTCACTGTCAACAGAACCTCTGGAGATGCCATCAGCTACAGATGCAAGTGAAACGTCAGGAGAGAGTGCTGCTGGAACATATTGTCCAGACAGCCTAGAAAACTCATAGCAACCCATTGATTTGCACTGTTGGAGTGAGGATTGTATTCTGGGTGAGGTTAGACCAGGCATGGGCCAACGAATCCTCCCTCCAGGTGTTTGGGACTTCAACTCCCAAAATTTCTAACGCCTATTGGCCATTAGGAATTGTGGGAGATGAAGTCCAAAACACCTGGAGAGAGGACCCAAGTTTGTCGATGCCTGGCTTACTTACTTGCTTAGGCGATCCCTTGTTGTCCAAGTATGATGGCCTTCCAAGATCGGTGTCCTGGTTGTGGGTCCATAGGTGACTGTGGAGCCCTATCCCTGACCTGCATCTTCTCCCGCAGTGAGGACATCGGTTTCCAGGTGGAAGGTGGTCCTGGTCGGGGTTGGTTTGACGCACCTTCCTCTTGGCATGTTTCTCCCTGTCACCCTCCATTCGTGCCTCTTCAAATTCTGCAGCACTGTTGGTCACAGCTGACCTCCAGCTGGAGCGCTCAAAGACCAGGGCTTCCCAGTTCTCGGTGTCTATGACAGATTTTTTGAGGTTGGCTTTGAGCCCATCTTTCAATCTCTTTTCCTGTCCACCAACATTCCGTTTTCTGTTCTTGAGTTCGGAGTAGAGCAACTGCTTTGGGAGACGGTGGTCGGGCATCCGGACAACGTGGCCGGTCCAGCAGAGTTGATGGTGGAGGAGCATCGCTTCAATGCTGGTGGTCTTTGCTTCTTCCATCACGCTGACGTTTGTCCACCTGTCTTCCCAAGAGATTTGCAGGATTTTCTGGAAGCAGCGCTGATGGAATCGTTCTAGGAGTTCCATGTGACGTCTGTAGACAGTCCACGTCTCACAGGCGTATAGAACAGTTGGGAGGACAATAGCTTTATAGACAAGCCCCTTCGTCTACCTACGGATATCCCAGTCCTCACTCTCTGCTGCATTTGGGAAATGCTGCACTCGCAGAGCTCAGTCAGTGTTGTATTTCAGTGTCAGTGTTGACGTTTGTAGACAGTCCACGTTTTGCAAATGTATAGCAGGGTTGGGAGGGGAATAGCTTTATAAACAAGCACCTTCGTATCCCTATGGATGTCCCGGTCTTCAAACACTCACTGCTTCATTTGGAAAAATGCTGCACTCACAGAGCTCAAGCAGTGTTGTATTTCAGTGTCAATGCCTGGGTTGGACCAAAGGAAGAAGAGAGCAGTGGGACTATGACTTCCATCAGTCTGGACACTCCTCTGAATGCAGCCTAGGAGTCTAATGTCCAGATGGAAGGAAGTCATAGTCTTATGTTTTGATCAGACTGTCCCACCTGGAATAATAATAATAATAATAATAATAACAACAACAACGCAGTGTCCAATTCTGGGCCCAGTTTGCAGTCAGAGCAATTGATTGGGCAATGAGTGGGTGGGCTTTGGGTTCAGAGAGGGTCCCCGTGCAGCAGGCGGATATCCCTTCGGAATTGGGGGCATGGTGTCCGGTCAGTCAGTGGCCAGAATGGGACCATCGCAATGGCAACCCTTGTCTCTTTTTATTGGGATAAGGAGCCATTCCTTTTATTGAGGGAGGGGGGTCTTTCCTCTCTCTCCCCCCCTCCAAAACAGGGTCCCTGCCACTCCAAAGGCATCACCAGGAACTTTCCTGGCCGGCGGCTGTGTTTTCCTTGTCAGCAGTGACCTCATCGCTTTGACGGCGGCGGCGTGAGCCTCGGAAAATCTCTTTGCTTTCCAGCGGGGCTTAAAAACCACTAAAAAAGGGGAAAGCGATCTTTCCGTTGGCTGGTGCAGGGTCTCAAGGAAGAGGGGCCCGTCTGTGCGCCAGTT